TTAAGAACCTCCAATTAATTAATTGACCTAAGAAGCAGGGGCGGAGGAAGGGGGGCGTGGTAGGGGTGGCCGGCCCTGGGTGTCACCACTGAGGGGAGTGACAAAATGCCAGGCGGCACTCGCTGCGGTGCCTGCAGTGCGCCCGAGCCACGTGTCTCTCCTGGGAGAGACATGGTGGCTTAGGCGAGCACAGGCTCTGCGGTGCCCAAACTGTCCACCCACTGCCTCCCCCTCAGCTGTAGGGTGGCTGAGTGGGAGGAGGCAGGCAGACTCCTCGGAGGCCCTGTGGAGCTTTCCTGCCCCGGCTGGCCCCATCCCCCACGGTGGCTGGCCCTGCCCTTGGGCACAGGGCATGCGTGCCACCCCAGGCGCCCGATTGGCTTGCTCCGCCACTGCTAAGAAGACAGACTCAGATGAATATATTTGGAATCAGAGGAGCGTTTTCATCATTTATTTGTTTTTGTTTTTCAAAATAAGGCTTGTTCTTTAGCTAATAAGCAAATTCAGCAGGATCTGTAGACAGTCGAATATTGCTTAGGTGCACGTATAAGGTTATGTTTGAATAAATGGCTGTGTGGGTGCTTTTTCTTCAGAAGAAGCTGACTTGGGCATTCCTGTGGTGTTTCAAGGAACTTACAAATGTATCAATAAGAAATGCCCCATAGTAAATTTGGATGAGTCACTTGAACTCAGCCCAGATTTATTAAAAGATGTATTTGTTGGCATGGACAGAGTGAGGATGTTGTGTTGTGCTTTGAAACATTGCAAAAGATTCCTACAACCGGTATTTTGTCTGAAGACCCTACAAGGTCAAAAGCAGCGTAACAGATAATATATTTTCCAGCTTCTTTCCAGCCCTTATCTAAGGAAGAAAACTTTGTTAATTCCCAGTAACTCCAGGTCTTAAAGCCCGGCTGAATCAGTTTAGCTGAGGAAAACCAAGCACATTTGGGGTATAGCTCATAGGGGTGGGTGCAGAAAATGTTTCAGGAAGAGTGATGCAATGTATTTTATTCCTACACAAACACATGTGTGTGGGTGTGTCCACATATATACCTGTATTTATATATGTGGTTGTGTGAGAGAGAATGAGAGAGTGGGGAATGACAAAGCTAATTTCTAGGGTAAGAATCACATAAAAACATGTGGACTATCCTTTTGTTTTAGAGCAATTCCAGTTTCCATAAACAGTGGTACCTTGGATGCGAACGGGTTCCGTTTCGGAGCCCTGTTCGCTTCCTGAACATAACGTAAGACGCGTCTGCACGGGTCGTGTTTCGCAGCTTCCGAGCATGCACGTGACGTCATTTTTACCGTCTGCGCATGCGCGAGCGGCGAAACCCGGAAGTAACGTGCTCCATTACTTCCGGGTCGCCGCGGAGCGCAACCCAAAAGCGCTCAACCTGAAGCGTATTTATCCCGAGGTATGACCGTATACTTTTACAATTGTCAGGAGAGCGACGGTCACTACAATTATGGAGGGGCAAAAATCTTCCCTTCAGAATGATAGGCAGCAGTAGGATGCCATCATTTATTTATAAATGCCATTTACCCCTAATGTGCTGCTTGTAAAGGCATGTCAGTTTCTCACAGGGGGTCTAGAAGGCATTCCAGCCTTGAAGGAAGTTAAAATCTTTTTAGCTTAAGGGGGGGGTCTCATTAGGGGTTCATCAAATTAATGTCATTTATTAGCCATTGATTCTGCATAGAGAACATTTGGAGAGAAGCACACAAGGGCAAAGAAAATTGCAGCACACAGATGTAGAGGTATAAACTATTAATACTAATTGGCTCATTGAGACAGAATTCCACTTGCAGAGAATTGTGCAGATGCACTTTGGCTCCTTTTGTATCCATGGGGGGGGAATCATATGCTCCCTTTGGACATGCACCTGTGAAGTTTGGGAGGTGCAAACAACATCCAGCAGGCTTTATTTATCTATTTATCTATTTATAAATTTTTATACCACTTTATAGGGTTAAACCACAGAGCCTAGGACTTGCCGATCAGAAGGTCGGCGGTTCGAATCCCCACGACGGGGTGAGCTCCCTTTGCTTGGTCCTAGCTCCTGCCAACCTAGCAGTTCGAAAGCACAAAAAGTGCAAGTAGGTGAATAGGTACCGCTCCGGCGGGAATGTCTGTGTAAGTGCCTATGCAAATGTCCTTGAAAACACCGGAAAAGTTTTGTGTTCCAAGTTCTCAAGCCCAGGAGGTTTGGAGACAACCTGTTCTGGTCAGGGTTGCACTCTCTTAGAAGAAGCTGCTTCATATTTTGCGGATACTCCAGCATCCAGCATTGTCACTGGAGGGCAAAGCAGTGGCGAGGAGTTCCTGTTTCCAGCCCCCTCTGATTTGCCAGGTATATAGCCGCTTTGGGGCAGAAATGACTTGACCAAGATGCTTCGTGAGCTCTAAGTGTGACTATTCTTGAAGACGACTTGGCAACTTCAACTGGTTCAAAATGCAGTGGCCACATTATTGACTAGGGTTAGGTTTAGAACTCATGTAACTTCTCTTCCAACTGCTTTGGCTGCCTGTTCATTTCCAGGTGCAATTTAAGATGTTCACGCTAGTGTTTAAAGCCCTAAATGCCTTCAGCTCCAAGCATCTGAGAGCACAGAAGCTCTTGGGTATTAAGATCAGCAGGGAAGGTGCTCGTGGTAATTCTCCCACCCTTGGAAGTTCAGGAGGGTGGTGACCCAGAATAGGGGCCGCCCCTAAAGGTGGGAAACTCTGTCTACACAGAAGTGTGTGGCACCTTCACAGGGTAGTGTCCAGGATCAGTTCTGAGTTGTGAGATCACATCTTTAGAGGGAGTGAACCCCTCCTGAAAACAATCTGAGCACATAATTCTGGGTTAACGAGAGAAAGCTGGAACCTTCATGCCTTGCTTGAGGAATGGGAGACAGGTCTTGCATTCATGACTAGCTTGTGGGCTTCCTGGAAGCATCTGGTTGGCCGTTATAGAAGCAGAATGCTGAGCTGAATTAAACCCTTAGGCTGAACTAGCCAGGCTCTTCATATGTGAAAGATTTTTCAGAGTCTGAACCAGGAATTAATATTAGACCATGCCATGTAGTGACTTAATCCCCATGAAACATAGCGAACCTGTAGTTTGATCGAAGAATGAGATTAAAGTCAGTTTTGTGTTCGTATTTTTGGAAGCAGGGCACATCTGCTTATTGTACAGTAGAAGAGAGCTTTATCTGATGAAACAGATTGCTAGCCTGCCAGCAGCGAGAATTAACTGTTCGGTACTGTTCATCCATATGCACTTTGTTAACATAGTCAGTGATGGTAAACTGGAGAGAGAAAAGGACCGATATCTGATTCGTATCAGATAAAATACCTCTCAATTAAGAGTGCTTAATAAAGAACGGCGTGTGCATTTACATAAATTAACCTTTGGCTACTACACGAGCTGAAGAATGGAAAGAATGGTGTTTTGTGAACAGGTGTCAGCAGGTACCTAAAAAAAAAAATGTGTCTGTGCCGAATCAGAAAATCAGCATCCGAAATGAGGTCTTTCCACCTTGCGGCCCATGGAGAGACATATAGCACACCAATGGCATATTGGTATTTTCTGGCCTCATGGGCCCTGTTTTTTGCAGACCCTGGCAGGCAGGCCTTAACAAGCCCCAGGTGAGCTGTCTTTCATCTTTGATAGACAGCACTGGACTTGGCAGCTGTGAGCTTGTCCATTTGCCCTGCTGCATCCCCACAGGAAAACTCTCTTATTTACTGCTGAATCAGAGCAAATGTCCATCAGATTTTCCATGGACTGATGTTTGCTCTGATTCAGCAGTAAAGAGAGGGTTTCCCTGGGGGGGAAAGCAGCGGGGCAAACAGAAGACTGCTCAGACCCGTGCCTAGAAATCATGAGACAAGCAGGAAACAAGTGGCTTTACATTATTGTGCATGGACTCCCATTAACTAAAACCTCGTGTAAGCTGCAAGTTACCTGTATTCTTATTCATTGTAGTGTTATGAGCTGCACTGAATACCAACTGAAGGAGCACTGGCCCCCTGCAGGCAGAAGTTAACCAGGGCTGAGTGCTTTTATGTCTCACTGCTTTCAGTGCACATTTTGAACACCCACAGGAAACAGTGCAACTTAAGTAGGGTTGCCACATGTCCTCTTTTTCCAGGACACATCCTTTTTTTCAGGGGTAAAAATTTCTGTCTGGGTGGATTTTTTTAATTTGCCAAAATGTCTCTGGCTATACTTTCTGGATGAGACATAGGCATAACTGGTGGTTGAAGACTTGCTTTCATCTTCTCTTCTCCTGCCCCCCTCAGCAATATATCACAGCTTCTATAGCCTACATATAGTAAAGGTAAAGGGACCCCTGACCATTAGTTCCAGTCGTGGCCGACTCTGGGGTTGCGGCTCTCATCTCGCTTTATTGGCCGAGGGAGCCGGCATATAGCTTCCGGGTCATGTGGCCAGCATGACTAAGCCGCTTCTGGCAAACCAGAGCAGCACACGGAAACGCCATTTACCTTCCCGCCGGAGCGGTACCTATTTATCTACTTGCACTTTGACATGCTTTCGAACTGCTAGGTTGGCAGGAGCTGGGACCGAGCAACAGGAGCTCACCCCGTTGCGGGGAGTTGAACCGCCGACCTTCTGATCGTCAAGTCCTAGGCTCTGTGGTTTAACCCACAGCACCACCCGCGTCCCTTTTCTACATATAGTAGAGGTATTTAAAATGAGAGTCGTCATAACATGCTCTTATAGGCTCTTTAAAATCTTCTTCTTTGGCGATCACTTGTAGCCAAATAAGATTGTCTTCTAGAAACGTGGTCTTAATAGTGAGTCTGTAAGTGACTGTGGAGGGCAATTCTGGATCCATGTGTTCTTCCACAGTGGGGACATAGGTTTCCAGGCGGGAGTTGATTACGGTGAGGGTTTGCCAAGTGTGCCTTCCTCTTAGCACGTTTCCCCCTTTCATCCTGAGTTCGAGGCAACCCTAACTTAAGGGCTTAACTTTTACTGGATCATGGCACAATGGATCAGTGTGTCTTGCTGTTGACCAGAAGGTTGGTGGTTTGAGCCCACCCTGGGACGACTGTGGGCCAGAGGGTCCCTTTCAACTCTATGATTCTATGTCCCACATAAACAGACTGATAGCCAGCCATCGTCATTCTATTTTTATATATGTATATATATAAATTTTTATTAGTTTTTTAACATATCATTTTCAACAATAATTAAACATACTTTTACACCTTATACAATCTTTTTTGACTTCCATCACTCACATCTGAAAATTTTCCAATCTAATCACTTAATATACATTTCTTACTTTCACTATTAAATTTAAATCTCATAATTAATATCTCTAATCTTTCTCTATTTTGCAATGTTTCATATCTTTCTCCTTACAAAACTTCTTGTAGTCCTAATAGCATCATTTGTTGAATACAGTCGCTCTTCAAATAGTTCGTATATTTCTTCCAATCTTCTGTGAATCTCTGGTCCCGCAGGTTTCGAATCCTTCCTGTCATTTTATCTAATTCTGCGTAGTCCATTAACTTTGTCTGCCGTTCTTCTTTCGCCGGAATTTCTTCTTGCTTCCATTTCTGGGCTAACAATACTTTTGCTTCTGTTGTTGCATATAAAAACAATTTAACATCTTGTCTGTTAAAATCCTCACCTATAATCAGCCGTCGTCATTCTAAGGCTATTCTGTCCTCCCTCAGGTTTGTCCATCCGAAGCGTGTGCTGGAAAGCAGACCGGCTTTTAGCAGGGACGCAGGACAGCGAAATATTTGAGGTCATCGTGAGAGAAAGAGACAAGCCCATGCTCATAATGCAAGGTCACTGCGAAGGAGAGCTCTGGGCCTTGGCGGTGCATCCCAAGAAACCGTTAGTTGTTACCGGCAGCGATGATCGATCCGTACGGTAAGGCAAGAGTGTAAGAAGATGGCCTATGGACTGTCACCACATACATTCTGGGGAGCTGCCATGCTTTAAAATGGGGATGGGGGCATTTCCTTGTTGGTAAACATCCCAGGGAGGGACACACCAGTGGGGAGTGGGGTCAGAGGCACAAAGTAAGTAGAGCAATGTATGCGGCAAGCCCTGTAAAAGTCAGAGGTTTCCGTACGCACACACAAACATGCATCATGAAAAAGGACATGCAGTCAAAACAGATGCTTCACCACTGAATTATGGGTCTGAAAACTATTCCTGTTCTGCTAAATTTTTCTCAGAGGAAGGCTCAAGCATTAATTGTTCCGAAACACCAGTAAAGCTTATGAGATCCTTAATTTACTGGTGAGGTGGTTGCTAAGTAACCCATTTTTTTGGGTGCGGGGGGATGCAGCAGCCAGCATAAGTTTCCAGTAAATAAACTCAGTGGCCAGGTGTCTGGTAGAATAAGCTGGAGTAGTTCCAAGAAAACACAATTCTTTGGACTGGTTAAGGATTACAGAAGTCAGGGTTTTGGACAAGTGAATTACAGAGCTTCCAAAGGAAGCTGAAGCAGACTTTCTGAGCAGTGCGAGCAGCTGCTAGATTTCAAGCAGTCTTAGCTTTTGGCAACTTTCTGCTTAGAAAAGAGCATGGATCTGTGTCTCCCCTCCCCCCTTGTCTCCCTGACCCAGAAGAGGCATGAAAGGGGCAGAGGAGAGAATAGCTGCACGCATGCACAGTCTCCAATTGTTTGGGGAAAGCCCTGGAAAGGAGGAGACAACGACTTCTTCTTCATTTGTATGCTGCCGTATACCTGCAGGCCTCAGGGCGGTTCACAGGACAACACAAAACCAGCTATGGGGAGCCGGGGACATTTAGTCTCAGCAACTGATTTCATGGAGTAAGACCCACAGAGAACGCTGCTGCTGGGCTCATTAGACCTGACACTCGGCCAATGAGGCGTTCACAAAGTAAAGGAAGGATTGAACTCTGATTAATAAGAATACACACAGAGGCTTGAACCAGCAAGACTCTGGGAAGGGTGCGTATAATAATCTCGCCGTCTCCACCCCTCGGCCCAGGTTGTTTTATTCACAAAAGAACTTTTTACAGAGTGTTCATAAGAACCAATCAGATTTCTTCTGAGCATTTCAACAGACCCCACATGGGGACAAAGTTAAACTACCAAAACCAATTAAGCACACATATTTCTGGGGTAAACAAAACAGAACTACAAAGGAGCTATTTGGCAACCCCTGAGGTCATAAACAAACAATATACATGATAAGAAGGATGGCCAGGAGGACAGCGATCATTATCACCTTTATGTGAAACTTGTTTCCTGGCCCTAAGATTAACATCCTAAGATTACCATATCAGAAAAGCTACATCAAAGAAACTTCCCACTGTCTTTGATGACCCAGGATGCCTGCCTGGGCAACTGGCAGTGTACGTGACTGGTCAAGAAAGAGAAATGGAACAGGGATGCAGAGCTGTGGATTGATCAAGAATCATATCAAAATAGTTTAAACCCAGTCAACGCAATGCTTTCATTGCTGACACAGATGGCTTACTCTATATTTGTTATAATTCCTGATAGCAATCCCACCTGATCACTACAGCCAAGTCTGTGAAGATTGTGTTTTTGCTAATAAAGAGTTAACTCCCAACTTGGAACTGTGTGATTTACTGACCAGCACGCTCTGTGACATGAGGGCTGGGAGAGACCCCTGTCTGAAACCCTGGACAGCCACCGCCAGTCAGCGTAGACAACATTGAACAAGATGGACTAGTAGTCTGACTTGTTAAAAGGCAGCTACCTATGCTCCTTCCTAATTTTTCTAAACATTTAAATATGGAACCTTTCTCCTCCTATATTCCTTGCATTTTCAGACTGTTGATCTGAAGAAACTGTCTTGAGCTGGCATCCCCAACCTTCAGCCCTCCAGATGTTTTGGACTAAAATTCCCATCATCCCTGACCACTGGTCCTGTTAGCTAGGGATCATGGGAGTTGTAGGCCAAAACATCTGGAGGGCCGCAGGTTGTGGGTGTCTTGAGCATAGTTGTTAATATAAGGGCAGGGTCACATTTGTCAAAGTCTGCCATGCTTTCCCCCCCCTAATGAAACCAAACCCTTTCGACGAACTCCTGCATTAAACTTGATCTTCCTAGTTGACTTAGTGCATTCCTGTATCGCTTCAGTTTGATGTCAGGGTAATTCTGTAATTCACGGGAAAAGCCGAGGAAGCCAGTTTCCTAGGAGACGGGTCTTTCCCTCTCATTTTTACCATTCTGAGCAGCTGATACTAACTAATCTTGATGTGCTGAACATGTTGAAATATCTGTGATTTTCTGATTCATGCCTTGCATATGCTTTGTGGCATCATTTGCATATTGCATTTTTATTTTATTTTTTACTGGTGTTTGCTCCTGGTGGAAAGGTTTGTCAGTGTACTAGGGGTGGAACATTGCTGGGTGGCTGAGCACATTCTCTGCATGCAGATGGGCCCACATTAAGTTCCTGGCATTTCCATTTAACACGATTAGGTAGCAGGCAAGGGAAAATATTTTTTCCTGCAAACCCTACACAGCCACAACCAATGAGAGCCGATAACACTGATCTAGGTGGACAAATAGCCTTAACTTGGCACAAGCAGCTGCCAGTGTTCCAGGTGCAATGTTCTGGGGGGGGGGGTTTGGTGTAATGTAGATAACAATATAATAATAATAATTTATTATTTGTACCCCACCCATATGGCTGCATTTCCCCAGCCACTCTGGGCGGCTTCCAACAAAGATTAAAAATACATTAAAATGCCACACATTAAAAACTTCCCTGAAGTTTAGATGTCTTCTAAATGTCAGGTAGTTGTTTATCTCTTGGACATCTGATGGGAGGGCTTTCCAGAGGGCGGGCGCCACTACCGAGAAGGCCCTCTGTTGGTTCTGGGTGTGGAAGACTCAATCTGGAGACAGACCATAGTTCTGATTTGTTTCGGTGGAGACATTAAGTTAGTGTGATGTATACATGACCCCCAAGTGGGAGCGGGTGGCGCTGTGGTATAAACCACAGAGCATCTACGGCTTGCTGATGAGAAGGTCAGCAGTTCGAATCCACGCAACGGGGTGAACTCCTGTTGCTCTGTCCCAGCAGTACTTTTACCTTTTACATGGCCCCCATCATCACATCTTGTTAAAAATATATTGTTGCCAGTTGGGTAAGCCCCATCGTCATTTTATTTATTTTTAAATTAATTGGTCACTTTAAAAACAAACAAACCAAGTTAATTCAAAGCGATTTACAATACACACACACACACCGACAAACACAGGGCAAATGACTTCATCACTCAGGACAAGGAAGCAGCAAGCGTACTGAAATATACTCGGAGTCGAGAGTAGATTTCATGCTCTTTATTCAGCTCATAGTGGTGAGGAGGAATGAAAGTTCCCCCAAAATATCTGCTTTATATACATTATTTACACAATGGGCTGCACGTAATTGGCTAATTCCGGGATTCTCCTGTAGACCAATCAGGTTGTGGATTCACTTCCACCTGGAGCTGGATTGGGTGGCTCCTGTGGACCAATCATACTGCTGCATTTTGGATCCTGTTGTTCTAGGACCAATCAGACTGCTGCATTTGGGATCCTATTGTTCTAGGACCGATCAGACTGCTGCATTTTGGATCCTATTCAACTCAGTACATAACAGTACATTCACTGTTCTCCATCAGCATAGGTTGCACCCAGCAAAACCATCCCATTAGCCCAAGGACTTCTGCACGTACAACAGGACTTCTCCCACTTCTCTCTCGCCATGCATCTAGATCCCCATACACACAGGCTTGACTTTGTCCAGGGTTTTTTCCAACCCTGAATGGGGCATGTTCATGGGGCACGTGGGAAAAGGAGAGGAAGTCCTGTTGTGCAGCCAGAATTCTTTGCACCAAAAAGATGACTTTGTTGGATACAGTCCATGGACCATGAGAGTGTTCCTACTTTCTATCCTGCAGGCCTGAAGCTTCTGGAGTAAGCACACACTCTGTTTCCTATCCAGTTCCTAATGCAATTAAATCTTGCAGCTCACCTACTGATAGGTATTCCAGAGCTCTGGAGAAGGAACCCCTGGGAAATGGTAGCTTAAAC